CCTTCTTTGCCTCCATAGATAACGTTTTTTGACTCCACATATACCTCAACGCACCACTCACCTTTTTTCCCTCATCAATTTTATGATTAACCTCATCCTTCATAAATCCATCCGCCGACACGTCAACTGCCAAGTATCTGAAAACATTCACTTCTTCCATACTCCTCCTCCCCAATTTGATATCCAATTTTTCTTTATCTAAATCATTTGATACCCTCATCACCTTACTCTTTTCTATGTTCACTTTCAACTTTCTACCTTTACACACATTCTCAAACTCATCCACTAACCTTTGCAATTTTTCTTTAGAATCTCCCATAAGCACAGTATCATCAGCAAAAAGTAACTGTGTCAATTCCCATTTTTAATTTGATTCCCCATAATTTAATCCCACCCCTCTCCCAAACACCCTAGCATTTACTTCTTTTATAACCCCATCTATAAATATATTAAACAACCATGGTGACATTACACATCCCTGTCTAAGACCTACTTTTACCGTGAAGTATTCTCCCTCTCTTCTACACACCCTAACCTGAGCCTCACTATCCTCATAAAAGCTCTTTACAGCATTTAGTAACTTACCACCTATTCCATATACTTGCAACATCTGCCACATTGCTCCTCTATCCACTCTATCATATGCCTTTTCTAAATCCATAAATGCAATAAAAACTTCCCTACCTTTATCTAAATACTGTTCACATATATGCTTCAATGTAAACACTTGATCTACACATCCCCTACCCTACTCTGTTTTTAACTGACAAATCCATACTTTCCCTAGGCTTTCTTAACTTGTTTAACTCACTCCAAAATTTTTTCTTATTTTCATTAAAATTTCTTGACAGTGCCTCTCCCACTCTTTCATCTGCTCTCCTTTTGCACTCTCTCACCACTCTCTTCACCTTTCTTTTACTCTCCATATACTCTGCTCTTCTTATAACACTTCTGCTTTGTAAAAACCTCTCGTAAGCTACCTTTTTCTCTTTTATCACACCCTTTACTTCATCATTCCACCAATCACTCCAGGCTGCAACTGACAAAAGGACAATCCTAGGCAAAGATGATTCCTGAGAGAAAACAGCATGTGCCCACAGGCAAGTGCTGAGTTATGGCTGCCCTCCAACCTAGATACTATTCACCTTGCATATAATACACTGAATTAATACTGAATTATGTATATTAGAACACTACCAGACCAGTCTACTCATCAGCAATTACCCTACGAGATGATGGCAGTATCTCCTACGCAAACACAACAAGAGCAAATTACCAATTACTCAGTCAACAACAGTGAAGACAGTCAGACCAGTGTCACAAACTCTATGATATGTTCCATGCATCCTCAACTGCCATACCACTCACTACACATGTACCTCACAAGATTTCACACCTGTACTCTCACATTAACAACCCAACATCAGTAACTTAAAGTGTGAGGATCAAAGTGCATGCACAATCAATTTGCTTTAACAGAAGCCAATGCTTACAAAAAGTGTAAATGCATTTAAGTCATCCATTCCATTACAAAAAAAAAAAATTACTGGTCTCACAAAAATGTTGACATCCTATATATGAAGACATACAGCAAAAGCATTAAACATTCATTGCTCACCACTTCTTTACACATCCATCCAACCTAAACAGAATTTGGTATGGCATATAGACAATACAAAAGTGTCTGCTACCTCAAGTAGTAGCCTAACTAATCAAACGAGAGGCTCGTCTACCACTAACACACACTAAGGCATAGAAGGACAAACTAAACACTATGATCAGCAATTCAGGTTCTAATAAGTGAACACCCAGCATTTATGATGTGCTATACAAGCATACTTCAAATGTGAGGTTCATTCCAGTATTTCAGTGTCAACTCACAAAACTTTCTCTCTTGGTGGACAGAGACAAAACAAATGAGCAAGATAAAATTAGAATTACAATTACATAAAGCGGCATGCACTACTTTTAGGTTATTTTCCTGCAAGTTTCTGATATATTGATAAACATGTACATATGGCACCTCTGGAAAAAATTCTTGCTAAAGATATGCTGAAACCTTAAAATATGTATTAGTCTGCTGCTGTTGTTGATGCTGATGCTGCTGCTGCTGCCTTCAAATTTATCTACACTCAAACCAACCCATGTAGATTGAATGAAAAATAATAACAGAACCTAATAAATTATCATCCCTCAAGGTATGTGACTCAGTGGTGTAATTCATATCAGTAGAAAATTATTTCATCCACATTGTAATAATATGTATTGTTTAACATCAGATCTATTTGAATTAATGTAAAGAGAATGATGTCACATGAAAAGGAGACAAGGAAATACTGCATCATTTATTCAACAAATCACACCATAGTTTGTACCTGCCCAGGAATACATGATTAAAGCTCCCAACATAAACGCCCACATGGATGAATGATGTTTGTTAGATTAGTGGAGTAGCACTTCCCGGCACAAGATCCGCCAAGGTAAAAATGTGTGGGTCTTACCACGTAACTTGTGCCACAAACTGGGTAGGAGGGCAGGGGCCGAGTCCACTGAGGCTGGCCTGAGGTGAAAAAGACAGATTTCATGACTTCATCCCAGGTTGAACATTTTTTCCTTGTAGGAGACATACCCTGTTGCAATGTTAGTGCACAAGAAGTATCAGGTTGTGTTAATGCATCCACACTGCCTGCAGTAGTGGTTAGCAATGGTCCTTCTGAAAATGTTAAAATGTTACTCTGTGCTTTCATCCTTGGAATTTCTTGGGGTAATTTTTCGGTGTGTTCTTTATTTTCATTCAAAATGCTGTCTCTGTGCATTGTCTGCATATCATCCAGACTTGTGTTCAAAGTAGTGTTTTGGGACAATACATGGGCATGGTTCACACTTAGACTAGAAGTATCATCTTTACCTGATATTTTTTTTACATTATAACTCATCAGAGGATGTGTGTGGTCATCTGGTAACACAAAAGATTCTGCTTCAATAATTAAATCAATATCACTATTTCTCCAGTTTTGTCCACAGTGTGACCTTCCATCAGGTGAATCACTAAAGTCTTTTTCTGTAGGCTTTCCAGTTATTCCTTCAATCTCTGAGTCAGAGGAGTTTTCCAAGAAGGTGTAGCTATCCAAGCATTTAGAATCCTCTGGAATACAAGCATGATCTTCATTAAATTGAGAGACATTACCTTCCAATGAAGAAACACTTGTAAGTTTAGATGCAGGATTAATTTTAGTAGCCGTGTAAAAATTTTCCATGTGTACTGACTCATTCAGCGCTCTTTCTGGAAACTTAACCTTTTCATTTAATTCTTTTTGAGAGTTATTTGAGTGTGAATCTGAGGTTAATATCCGAACACTTACTGAAAATTCTTTGCCCTCTGAGGCCTCCCACTGCTCATTATTCAATGGGTCGAGTTTTACTACTGTATCTGAATTTCCCTGAAGAACCTCTGTACATTCTTCAGGCCCACTATTTGTTTCTTCCCCCATACACTCTGTGTCAGTACTCATTATGTTAGTTTCATTCATTATTTGTTGGTCTTCTAGCTTTTCATAAGCAACAGAGGATATTATAGTGCTTGTATTTGAAAAAGATCTATCAGGTGAAATGTCATCAGAATAATGTACTATATCGTCTATGTCAGGTGATGGGACATATGAGGTCATATATTCTGAGTCAGAAAGATTACATTCATCTGCAGACAAGTCATCACTTCCTCCACAACCACTCCCTCTAAGTTGTACATAGTCATAATGCGATGTTTCTTCCTCACTGGTTACAATGAAGGAATCTGAATCATAGTGTAGCTCTCTATAGTAAAATGAAGTATTATTATTCTCTGTATCATTATGCAATGAAATAATCTTTTGAGGTTTTTCAAAGCTAAGAATATCAATGTCGGTTTCTAGATACAATCTCTTAGACTCATAACCTTGGTCCTGAACAGTATCAGTATTACTACAAACCTCTGTGTTTGAGTCTATTTCTTCTACGTTTTCTTCATCTGAATCTGACATTGCATCCACGCTTTCAGTTTCATTATCTGTAGCTAAATCTGTTACTGCATCCCTACTTTCAGTTTCATTATCTGTAACTAACTCCTCCTCACTTTCCTGATCCGAAGTAACCGAGAAAATCCCGTTTTTGTCAAAAGCTTCATCGGCCTTGACTACCTCCCAATGTTTATCTTCAACAGCTACTTCTGGTAAAGAAATCTCCGACTCATCTGATTCTATTTGTTTATAAAGGTTTTCAGTAAATTCCTTGAAAAATACATTTTGAAATCCTAACTTATCATCTTGAATGTTATAATCTTCTGCCTCATGAATTTCACCCTTACTTAAACTTTCATTCTTACAATCATTTGCATTTTCCATTTCTTCTTCTGGAAAACTATCTTGGTAGCAAAATGGTGGTTCCAGGTGTGTTTCTTGAAAGGAAAGGTCTTGGTTAAGTGGACAACTATCCAAGATCTTTGTATCAAAACTATCATCCCTGGCATCATCATTGTTTGAATCATCAGTATATGTGCACACAAGCACTGCAGAGACATCACCCACATGCTCATGTTTAATCAAATTTGTATTCTGCAAATATCCTGACAACAGCCCAAGTTCTTCGTTTTTGTTGTCCACAAAAGAGGAAACTGGACTGTGATTTTCAGCTTTGTTCCCCACTGTGACAGATAAAGCAGAAGCAGAGAATGTATCAGGCTCTAGAGCAGGAAAAGAAACTGGGAGAGGGATGGGATCTCTGTGGAAGCCACTGGATGCATTAGCAGTGTCAGTGACTGAATACACGCTAAGGTCATCAATGGCAGGCTGGTTATGGAGCTGGGTTTGCAAAAGGGGTTGAATGGGTACCACAACCTCCTGGTCACACTCAGAGAGGTCACAAGTCACACAGTCATCAACTGGTGCATTCTCAATTCTAAGTTCAAGCTTAGGGACTTCAGCAGCAACACCAACCTTCACTCCCACACAGCATGCTTCACTTACAAAAGGTCCCTTTTGTAGGCCTGGCAGGGAAGGCAGTGGTCCAAATCCAGAAGTGCCAGTTAGCGACTTATCAACGAGATCAGTTTTATGTAATTGCAAAGTATTTAGGTTTTCTCCTTCCTCTAGCTCTAGTGATTCTTCTGGTTCTTCTAGCTTTGGTTTGCCAAGAAGTAATGGGCTTCTACTTCTTCTTCTAATACATGGCTCATCTTCAACATTTTGTTTCAGATGTGGCACTAATTCTGGCTCCTCTTCCTCTTCTATTTCTTGAACACAATCTGCAGTTCTTGGCTCATCAATTAGCTTTGACCTGTTACTAGCTACAAGAACAAAATTCTGAGTCTTTGTGTCTTCCTTTGGGTTAGTCTGGGAAACAGTTACAGGAGCTTTCACTTTCTGTACATCTACATGGGCTACCCCTGTAGCAGGTACATAATTTTCTTCCCAAGATTTGTAAAATTCACTGATATCATCTCCCATGTCTGAATTTTCTAATGAGGGATATTTATGTAAATTTCTGGCAATAAGCTGTTCCTCACTGGTAGTAAGATTAATTTGTTTGGAAAGGTTGGAGGAAAAGGTGAGGGCTGTAAATGATTCTCCTGCTTCCTCTATTTCTTCATCATGTACTGAACCAAGCCTGTTTTTTTTCTTTTGCTTACGGGGAGCTGAGGGTGGATGTGTCTGCAACTCACGTACCATAGAATCGTAGCCCACTGGGATGATGGGGTCAGGAACCTGTCGAGCTCTTCGAAATCTAGGGAAGGTCTTGTTGGTCTGGAAGCTGACATCCAGGACAGAGTTGCGAAGGGCAGATGTAAGAACTTCATCAATCACATCCAGCATCTGCTGTTCATCCAACCCAACAGCATTGTTTCGAATTCCTTCCAGTTTTAACGAAACCTGTGACAATTTAAATATAAACCATTTTTACTAATCAAGCATCTGGGTGCTGTGATATTTAAAGTGAAAATTTTCCATTATTATCATATAAAATGTGAAAATAAATTAACCTTGATGTGCCTACACACACACACATTATTATTTATCCAAAACTAGTCAAGGCTTGTGAAAAATTTATTAGGAATTTTTTTTATACAGACTAAGCAATATAAAAATATGTACATTATAACTAGCCCCTCTTTCTTGTATCTCATTAAGTCTGTCTTTAGAAGCAAGGCTTATCAGAGCAGCTGCTGCTGCCTTAATGACTGCAAATGACACACACAAACTTATACCTCTGGCCAGCCATCAAACTTGACCACAGCTGTGAGCTCTGGAGCGACAGCAGCTATGTTGAGTCTCCCTCTTAATGGACGAACAGCACATGCGTACTCGCTCTCTGTAGTTTTATCTCCCTGGGTTCTAGTCGTTCCTAGTCGTAGGTATATCGTAGCATCACAGTCGCACGTGATTGTCTGAAAGAACATTTTTTATATTTATTGAAGCAAAGAAGAAAATGCAACAAAAATACAAAGTTCTTAGTAATAAAATGCTATGAACAAAAGTATAGTGCTGTTTTTCAACATTAAGGGATAACCAGTATAGTATTATTATACACACAAATCTCTTCAGTATTTCTAGAACACTTATGTGAAGTGATTTAAATATGTGATTGCTACTGTTTCAAAACAGGAAAGTTTTTGGAGAGGCTTATGTGAAGTTATTTGATGTTTTTGTGGAGTTAGTCTGGACTGTGACTTATCTCACCTGTAAGTGTCATTATAGTTTATTTTTGATACCCAGTTTGTGTCTTGTATACTTGCCACTGAGCTGATTTATTTATTTATTTATTTATTTATTTAATTTGAACATGATACAGAGAAGTACAAGGAATACAATTTTTAAAGTGCAGCATGCCAAAGCCCCTTGTATGCAGAGCATTACAGGCAGGCTTAAAATTAACTTAAGATTAACTAAACAATGAAATATTCAGTGGTACAAAAACTACTGTAAAACAGATAACAATTTAGTACAAATGAGTATTACAAAACAGGTCATATGGTCATTTACTGTGTTGCTGTGTAATCAGTAGAATGGAGTATTCTGTTAGGTAATGATAGTCAGCTGTGTTTTACCTCATGGCCTAAATGCCACAATGATAAAAAATTCCGTTATTATTTTTATTTATGTCGTTGTAGTTATCTGTGACTACTTTAATAAATTAACACAACAGCCAAGTGATCTTACAAGAACCATTAACACACTGTGGAAATTTATTCAGTCCTAAAGTTCCACAGGACAGATACGGCGTACAAAGATCCCAACATGTCACGGGTAAACAGCTGGGTTGGGTGGCCCTTACACCCAACCAAAACACACACACACACACACACCCGGGTTGGCGAAGGTGGTTGGAAGGTACTTCTTAATTGATAGATTTACCCTTCAGGGAAGAAGTAGGTAGTTTATACTGTTAGTACACTAATATTAGGATTATTGAGGCAACTGTAGATAATAATAATGTAGACCTAAGCCCTTAACGTAGGTAGTAATAGGACGATAATGTAGGCAAACACTAGGTTATGTTAGCCAGGGAGAACTGGCAGCCCAAGTTTGAATGCTGGGGCACAGGGTTTTGAGACCGCCGTGCTTTTTTCTAAGACTAGACACCGTCGGACCAGCAAGTGCCGTGATCAGCAGGCGGTGCCCCCACGTGTCTTCATATACTAGACCTGGGGAAATCTGATGGAGGCACCTCAACGTACCGTAGATGTCCTCCTCCGTCAGGCCCATACAGTAAGACAAGACCTCCCTTTTTCTACTCGATTCTGGCCAGTTTCTGGGGAAAATTGTGGGCGAGTCGAGCTGTGGGGCCTTTGTGCAGCCGGCAGTTCATGACCAGTACATACCGGCATCTCTTGTCAGCCTAGAAACTAGTGTCACTCTCTGCATAGTAGTCTAGGGGATTCACACCCCCTTGGAAACAGGAATTTCTGAGGTGCAGGCAGGTCACTAATATCGACTGAATATTGCAGGAATTAAGGCTCCCGGTTGCACATGGTTCTGAGGGGAAGTCCAGAGGGACTAAAGCTTAGGGAGGTTGAAGACCGAGACACATTCTCGAACACCAAGTAAGTTAGTCCTTTATACGTGCATGCAGGCGAGATTTCTTGCAACATCAGTCATTTATGAAAATCTGTCCTTTAAGCCACTTGTGAGGCTGAGGTACTGACCTCAGGGCTCGGTGTCAACAGAGCTTGCTATGGTAGGCAACTCACATGGAGGCAGTCGAGACAAATTTTCACACACACCCTATAAATGAAGTAACAGCATTATTAAGACTAACGCTAATCTTGCACTGAAACTTTGCATCGTCAGCAAAGGTGTTTACCTGGAGAGAGTGTACATGTACTTTTTTTATACTTTATGGCAAGTCTTTTATGTAAAATAGAAGCATTATCAAGCGAAGCACAAATCCCTGTGGCACCTTGTTCGTTATACTGTATTACCCTCCTGAGTGCACTACATCTTGTATCACTTTTCACATTTTCTTTTCACACAAGAAATTGTTAAATTTATTATTCACTGTGTTTGTAAAAGAGTGGGACATCTAAAGTGAATCTGCACACGAGCAGCAAAGGTACATGTTCTAGCTTTGCTTCCATGGACTCCAGTAAGCAGCAGTAGTATGGAACCCACATCTGACAAAAAAGCATGTTCAGAGACTGGAGAGAGTGCAGAGGTATGCAACAAGGCTTGTTCCTGAGTTAAGGGGCATGAACAACAAAGAGGCTGGATGGTATCTAACACTGCTGGAGGAAAGAAAAGCAAGGGGAGACCTGATAACATGCAAAAATTCAAGAGAAACTGATACACTGACTGGGATTGGCTGATTACGATAAGATTTGTTCAGGTTTTTAACCCAGAGGGTTAGCGACTCAGGATAACCCAAGTCAGTGCATCATCAAATTTAAATTAAAATTCAAAAGTTTATTCTCTATAAGGATTACAATGCTGAGTTTACAGAATTTGGTTATTGTGTGGTTTACATGTAGTAAAATAATAATTACAGAGTGCACCACTAGAACACCTAGCATGGCTAGGCATTTCGGGCAGACTTATATTAAATCTTAAGTTTAAAAATATTACAAAATTATGAGGTAAGTTGGAATTATGGCTAAGTGACTAAATACTAGTTTGTGAGTTTAGCAATGTGAATGCTTTCGTTTTGGCACAATACATAGTTTCAGTATTGGAGTATCACAGGCCAACTTATGACTAGTTAAGATTCATTATTTTAAGATTGAGATTGATATTTCTGTTTATGGTCAAATGGGTGAGTGAGTGTAAGTGTGGACCACCAGGTGGTATTCGTGTAGTTAGTTGACAGGGTGTATCAGGGAGATAAGATGTTTTCTGATGATAGTTTTGAAAGTGATGAATGTGTCTGCAGTTCTAGAGTTTTCAGGTAGGGTGTTCCAGATTTTAGGGCCTTTGACATACATTGAATTTTTGTAAAGGGGGATTACGAACAGACCCCTGGCAGTCTTCAAGCTGGCACTGGACAAGCACCTAAAGTCAGTTCCTGATCAGCCGGGCTGTGGCTCGTACGTTGGTTTGCGTGCAGCCAGCAGCAACAGCCTGGTTGATCAGGGGCTGATCCACCAGGAGGCCTGATCACAGACCGGGCCGCGGGGGCGTTGACCCCCGAAACTCTCTCCAGGTAAACTCCAGGACATGGGGAATGTCTTAGAGATGTTTGTGTCTGGTGTTATGCCTGTGGGTTCTGTCACAACTATCAAGAAAGCGTTTTAGGTCAAGGTTAATATTGGAATTTAAGGTCCTGTAGATGTAGACTGCACAATAGTAAGTGTGGATGTACTGAACAGGGAGTAAGTTTAGATCTATGAAGAGTGTGGGGGGGGGGGTTGCCAGGGATGGGATTTAGTGATTATTCTTACTGCGGCTTTTTGTTGGGTTATTATTGGCTTTAGGTGTGTTGCTGCAGTTGAACCCCAACCACAGATAGCATAGGTGAGGTATGGATATATAAGTGAATGGTATAGTGTGAGAAGGGGTTTGCGGCACTAGTATCGTATCTTGGGGAGGATCCCAACCGTTTTGGATACTTTTTTGGTTATGTGTTGGATATGGGTGCTGAAATTCAGGTTGTTGTCGAGGTATAGGCCTAGGAATTTGCCCTCATTATGTCTGGCAATTAGAGTGTTGTCGATCTTAATGTTAAGTTGCGCATCTCCTGCTCTGCTACCAAACGTAATGTAGTAGGTTTTGTCAGTGTTAAGCGTAAGTTTATTGGCTATCATCCAAGTCGATATTTTGATCAGCTCCTCGTTAACAATGGTGTTGAGGGTGTCAAGATTTGGGTGAGAGATGACATAAGTCGTGTCGTCAGCAAAGAGAATGGGCTTCAGGTGTTGAGATACGTTTGGAAGATCATTGATGTATATGAGGAAGAGCAGGGGACCAAGGACACTTCCCTGTGGAACTCCAGTATCAAGTGGCCGTGTTGTTGATGCTGTGTCTTGAATGGTGACATACTGATACCTATTAGTAAGGTAAGATTTGAAATATGCAAGCGCATGGCCTCTTATACCACTGGGGATTCAACCACGGACATAAATTATGTGAGGCGAGTGTTGCCTACCGAACCATACGGCCTTTATCGGGGTGAGAAATAGGTACTCAGGGGAGGGAGGGAGAAACCGGAAGCTAAAGAAACAGATGAACCATAGGGATGTCACGAAGTATTTTTTCAGTCTAGGGTGACTGGAAAGTGGAATAACCTCGACAAAAGGAAGTGGCAGTGGCAGGCGGCAGGCAGGTATGATAGGGCCCATGAGACTAGAAGTGAACACAGTAAACAAGTCGAGTGATGGGACAAGGAGTTACAATTACACAAGTGAATACAAAAAAAATATAATAATAATACTCTTATTTCTACAAGTACATGTACAGGGCATACAGGCCTAGCTGACATCAGTGACATACTACTATATAGAAAGTCCCTTGTTATGCTGAGCATTTCGAGAAAATTAGCTCATTTTTTCCCCAGGATGTGGCCCACACTAACACCCAGGTACCCATTATAATGATAGGTGAACATGGACAGCGGGTGTCTTATTAAGGAAAACACGTCCTAATGTTTCCACCCGTACTTTGGATGACCCCCCCCCCCCCCACCGCGCACCTCAGTGTGAGCTAAGTGCGACACATATGCAACAGTTAGGTATCTTTATTTTGAAACGTTTCGCCTACACAGCAGGCTTCTTCAGTCGAGTACTGAAAAGTTGATAGAAGCAGAAGATACTTGAAGACGATGTAATCAGTCCATCACCCTTAAAGTTTTGAGGTGGTCAGTCCCTCAGTCTGGAGAGCATTGTTCCATAGAATGAAACAATATTGTTTCATTCTATGGAACAATGCTCTCCAGACTGAGGGACTGACCACCTCAAAACTTTAAGGGTGATGGACTGATTACATCGTCTTCAAGTATCTTCTGCTTCTATCAACTTTTCTGTACTCGACTGAAGAAGCCTGCTGTGTAGGCGAAACGTTTCAAAATAAAGATACCTAACTGTTGCATATGTGTCTCACCTAACAACCTGTCGGTATTTTATACCATTTTAATGTTCAACGTGAGCTAAGTGCGCAAGCAGTCGATCTATGAGACATGAAGAACAAAAGGCACAATACAGTGACTGGAACAATACACAAATAACCCGCACTAAGGAAAGAGGAACTAACGACGACGTTTCGGTCCGATTTGAACCATTTACAAAACTCCTCTCTCCTATGTGCGGATTATGTGTACGGGACACGTTCTCTCACTCTTAAACTCACATTGTGCATGTGAGTCCATTCGTAATTTATTTTTTGTGTATACTCACCCAATTGTGGTTGCAAGGGTTGATTCATCGTTCGCTCGCTCTTTTTTTTCTCTTTCAAATTCTCTCTCCCTCTCTACCTCTCCGAGAGAGAAAGAGAGAGAAAGAGAGAGAGAGAGAGAGAGAGAGAGAGAGAGAGAGAGAGAGAGAGAGAGAGAGAGAGAGAGAGAGAGAGAGAGAGAGAGAGAGAGAGAGAGAGAGAGAGAGAGAGGAAAAAGGAGAAAATCTAAATAAAAATATTGCTATATATAAACCTTGAAAATAGCTTAACTAGTTCAACATCTCTAAGCGTGTACATTTAAGAATGCACGAATTCTTAACGTTAACCTGTGTGGTGGTGTAGGGTACTAAAAAAAATACACGAGAGCTCTGGCAGATAACTTACCATGCTGTCGGTGGGTGAGCAGTCGACGACCATATTGTAGAGCGCCGGAGCTGGCGAAGTCTTGTATATTTCCACCACCTCTACCAGGATGCCAGTCTGACAAGAAAATGGAGTCCAATTAAACTCTGAGGCCTTGTATTGAAACTGACAAGAACATAAGAAGGAAGGAACACTGCAGAGGTCTACTGGCTCAAGCAGGGCAGGTCCTTATCAAAACCACCCACTCCCACCCACGCATCTGTCCAACCCTTACCCAAATATACTAAAGAATTTGCTCCAGTATCTTGGTCCTTTTCACTCATATATATATATATATATATATATATATATATATATATATATATATATATATATATATATATATATATATATATAAACAATTTCTTTTTAAAAGTCCCAAGGTCTTAACCTATATATTTTTTTTATTTAAAATATACAGTATACATGCATATCACACATTGACGGAGTCACAATACATGAAACATTTATAAGAAAACATCCTTATAACTAACGGATGACAACCTACCCCTGAACATACATAATAAAATTGCCACTAGTCAAAAACTGACATTTATATTCATATCCTATATTACCCAACTCGGCAGATTGTTCCACTCATCGACAACTCTGAAAACCTGTACTCGCCTCCGTCTAAACTTATCTATTTTAAAACCGTTATTTCTCGTTCTTACTTGATTCGACATCCTCAGTACCTTATTTATACAGCCTTTGTTTATGACTATCATCCACTTATGAGCTTCAATAATATTGCCCCGTGGCCTGATGGCTAAAGCTCTCGCTTCACACGGCGAGTTCCGGGTTCGATTCCCGGCGAGGGTAGAAACGTTGGGAGTGTTTATTTACACCGGCTAAGTTCCCCATCAATAAAATGAGTACCTGGTAGTTAGTTGACTGGTGTGGGTCCTATCCTGGGACAAATATGACCTAATTTGCCCGAAAAGCTCTGCATAACAAGCGGCTTTCTATGTAGTAGAATGTCATTGATGTCGGCTAGGCCTGTATACCTTGTACAATGTATTTGTAGAAAAAAAATAATAAATTATTATTTATTATTATTATTCTACGTCTCTCCGAGTGAAGGTTCAGGGTACTTAGTCTATCTTCATATGGGAGATTCCTTATACAGTGGATTAATTTTGTCATTTTTTTTCTGAACGTTCTCCAATGAATTTATATCCATTCTGTAGTATGACAACCAAAACTGAGCTGAATAATCTGACATCATCCAAATCTTTAAATGGGCCACAAAAAACAATATGAATTTCAATGATGAGAAATTTCAAGTACTCCGATATGGAGAACGTGAGGAAATTAAAACTATATCATAGTATAAAACAAATTCCAACCACATAATAGAGTGAAAAACTAATGTAAGAGACCTGGGAGTGATAATGTCAGAGGATCTCACTTTCAAAGACCACAACATTGTATCAATCTCATCTGCTAGAAAAATGGCAGGATGGATAATGAGAACCTTCAAAACTAAGGATGCCAAGCCCATGATGCCACTCTTCAGGTCGCTTGTTCTATGTGGGCTGGAATATTGCTGCACACTAAGAGCACCTTTCAAGACAGGTGAAATTGCTGACCTAGAAAATGTACATAGAACTTTCACGGCACACACAACTGCGATAAAACAACGCTTGAAGTTCCTCAACCTGTACTCCCTAGAACGCAGGCGGGAGAGATACAGTATTATATACACTTGGGAAATCCTAGAGGGATTAGTACCAAACTTGCACACGAAAATCACTCCCTATGAAAGCAAAAGACTCGGCAGACGATGCAACAACCCCCCTAATGAAAAGCAGGGGTACCACTAGCATGATAAGAGACAACACAATAAGTGTCAGGGGCCTAAGACTGTTCAACTGCCTTCCAGCATACACAAGGGGGATTACCAATAGACCTCTGGCTGTCTTCAAGGCGCTGGACAGGCACCTAAAGTCAGTACCTGACCAGCCGGGCTGTGGTTCGTACGTCGGGTTGCGTGCGGCCAACAGTAACAGCCTGGTTGATCAGGCCCTGATCCACCATGAGAGCTTGTCACAGACTGGGCCACGAGGGCGTTGACCCCCGAAACCCTCTCTAGGTATACTAGTGATGTACAGAGCTGTAAAATAACTTTTGGACTCGTTACTTACACTTCTTGATAAAAATCCAAGTAATCTGTTAGCCTTATTGCGCACACTTTGGCACTGTTTGTCTCTGCTTACCATGACTCCCAAGTCTTTTTAAGCTTTACATCACTTAGTTTATAACTAAGGGTTATTTTCGTTCCCAAGGACTAAGACTTTACACTTGTCAACATTGAACTGCATCTGCCACTTTTCAGACCATGACTTTAATTTGTCTAAAATCATTACTTATTTTGTCGAGAACATCCTATGTGGAGTATGATCTGAGAACCATCCTGTGTAATGGCGTATGACCTGAGAACCATCCTGTGTAATGGCGTATGGCCTGAGAAACATCCTGTGTGATGGCGTATGACCTGAGAATCATCCTGTGTGATGGCGTATGACCTGAAACCATCCTGTGTGATGGCGCATGACCTGAGAACCATCCTGTGTGATGAGTGTGTTAGGTAAGTTTATTTTGGCACAGGTACACAAAAGTACAATTAACATACAGTGCAAATTACCTAGGATGACAAATAAACGTCAAACTGATTCATTTCCATTGGGGTTCTTGCTCTTACCTTGTAAAATGTCATAGATTACTGGAAATAAGTCACAGTTTGATTTTAATGGGTTATAGGTTGTATCTACATAATGTACCTTTTTGTGACCATACGATATATGTGCTCCCGATGACATTGCAAAGAATTTGTATGCTATATAGCTTAAGCCCAATTTAACAACTTATGGTAGCTACACAATACGGAGTAAAATATATTTAATCGTTAACAAGTTTATAGGTTTAGGGCTGCATTGCATCGGCTAGAGCTCAACTCAAACCACATATAGGCGATATACGCACGTATGTATAACTGCGCACGCACAAGCACACACATTTGCACACCCACGTATACAATGAAAGTACACGCTTGCACAAACACGTACGCTGTCAGTTTGCAAATGTGAAATTAACGAGGAAGATTACAGGTGAAGAGAACAGGGAAAGGACTTCATGACTGGAACAGGCCGCAACATAATCAGGAAAGTGGATATTTATATTTAATGCTGATAAGTGCAAAGTAATGAATGGAGAAGACTGAACTAGGACAGGCTGCTGGCAGCTTAAGATGTTGATGAACGGTAAGGACGTTAGAAGTTTTTTTCAGTCTTAGGGTGGCGAGCGAGTGGAATGCACTTTCGACAGATGAAGACGTGGTGGGGGCAGACACTCTGCACGGTTTCAAAAGTAGATCAAGATCGGGTCCTGCAGCCACGAATCAGAGCGAAGATGCAGGAGTTAAAATACTGGGCCAGGAACTATGAAGTAACCCCTGCAAAATCAACTAGGCAAGTACAACTAGGAATGTACAACCACCCAAGATTATCAAACCCGTGCTGACGCATATCATGAAAGCTTCAGCATGTGAATGACATATGTCGGTAATATCAGTAGCATCAGCGTCACCAAAACCATCACTAGCAGTAACACCACCACAAACCAACAGTAGTAGACACCAGCTTCGAAAGTTTAAAGACAAACAGAAGAGGTATTCTCTAGTTATCTCACAAATGACCAGTACCCCAAAATACACCAAGACTAGGTTTGAAACCATTCGGAAGTTGCATTCTCACGTTATCGGCGTTTAAGATCTGAAGCACTCACGAATTACAGCATGAAAAAAAACACTTTCAATTGTACTAATTTCAATTAAAAAAAAAAGGCAAAAGGTGACTACACGAGTCAAAAAAAAAAGTCATCTTTTAACTAAGAGACATTAGCCATTAAAGACTAAAGATCGGAAAAGGCGTTCACAAGTTATTTCATAGAAAAAATATCACACCATTTTAAAAATAAAACTGGAAAATTGGCAACTAAACAATAACAATCCCAGCCTTCTTCAAGGTAGGATACATCAGTGTTTAGAGTTCGAAGTCGATCAAAAGACCATCTTAAGTCACTGCACTGAATCCAAACCCGGAAAGGTCATACCAATAGTTGGATGAACCTTACAGTACACCAACAGTGAAAATTTATAAGCCGACTGGACAACGCGGTCAAGTTATAAAAGAAAATATTGGAGAAAGAAATAATCAAAAACCCCTTACAGATATTCCCTTAGAGATACCTTAATATAAAAACAAATGTAAGCAAAGAAGTGTATTTAAAGAGAGAAAGGGAAGGGGAAAGGGGGAGGCAGACAGTAAGGAGCCCGAGGAGCAACAAGACAGAGTAACTTACATGGCGACGCTCAGACTCCAAGAGAGACCAGAGGCAACGCCTCCATCCCTCCCACGAGCGGAGTTCCCTGTGTATGGTTCCATAAACTAAGCTTCTAGGAAAACTTCACAGTTTTGCCGTGAGTCAAGATCGCCAGTGAAGATACTACGCTGAACTGTAAAAATGGAGTCTTAACATAACTGTATCCACGAAGGGGTATCTTTCAGCGGTTAACAATTATTTTCTTTGTTCCTTCTTCCAAGGTTTTCATCTATAATTTGAGAACGCCTCATCTGATCGGCAAAAATTCAGAGCTGGTTTACTGTAAATAGGGAAAGGTTCATGCAATAATTATCGGTGGCTGTGTCTTCTGGTCAATTTTATGTAGCCAAACTCCTAGCTATATAAATGTGTGTAACTTAAGAAAACCTCTTGGATTTGGCTTTAATTGCTACTTTATCCCACTTAGAAGAAAATTAAGACTGTTATAGGCTCGTGTACCTCTTTCATATTCAATTAACTTAGTGGGTTAATATTTTCTAACTTGAAAATATAGTATAGCCTTTACGTATTATTCACTGCATTTACTGGTGTTACTGTAGGTTATAATTAGTTTCAAGAGCAGGTTTATGCTCGTGGTGTTCAGTCTTCAATAATCTGTTTGTAGGTAGGCGTGTGTGCGCGCGCGCCCGCGTGTGTGTACTCGCCTAATTGTACTCACCTAATTGTGGTTGCAG